TATTATCTTGAATAATGATGCAACCATCGCGTAATTACTTAAATCTGATCGGTTCTTTTATGATTGATTAACTGCTGTTCGATTTTTTGAATAGCCATTTAAAGGTTATTTACATACAACTTATCGGCTTTCGTTTTGTTAATCTTTTCAACGGTTGTCTCATGTCTTTCTGAATTTGCGGCATTTTTACTAGGCAACCTGCACCATTGTCATTGCGGTTACTTTACAGAGAAGGACGTCAAAATCTTTATTATGTCATTTTTTCTCTCCTCGAGTTAAATGCGATATTCATTTTATTTGTTTTAAACTGATGTGGTATTTTTTTGGTTTGATAATGAGTTTTACTTTCGATTCTATATCGTCAGTTAGCGAGATCCGACTAAATGTCCTCTTCCTAGGTTTATACTCTTGAATCTTTTTTTAATAATTGACTTGCAAAAGCGGTTGTACACAGTCAACAGTTTACACACTTCTGAATTATTTGAACTCAATTCATGAAATTTTTATGAGGGTCTAGATCTGACAAGGCTATTTTAAAACATTACTTGAATTCATAAGTTTCGGTTTTGAACCATCTTGTGGTATTGGGTGAAACTAGCCCTAGCGTAGTTTATTCTGTATTCAAGTTCTTTATTTCCTATACTTCATTTATTATAAACTAGCTTTAAAGCGGTATTTAAGCTGACTCCTGCAGAGGGATCTTGATTCGGCCTTCATCACAATAGGTACGGAAGGAGTAGCAACAATAAACTACAGAAGAACTTAAAATTGATCGCTGCATTTAAGTATAGTATTGATATATAAGCTTACCTTTTAAAAGTACAACGATAATTCTTCTTCTCTCGCCACTTAATTAAAAAAACAATTTGATGTACTTAGGTTTTACTTTCCGTACAAATAATTATTTTTATTTCATGGGTGACTTTCACTGGATTTCGTAATTAATTTCGATTAATCCCAAATGTATTCCCAAGTTACAGAAATTGTTAGCGGACAAAAAAAAAAAACGTCGCAAAAAATCACGTAAAAAAATCACGAAAACAATCGCTGTAATGAAAACTTGGAAATACAAAATTTCGGCCCGAAATATTTTCAATTTTTTGATTCCAAAATGGTATGCTATGTTGGTCATCGGCCTCGAGGAGTAAAGTTGAAATGTGTGACACAGTGACACACTGACATTCGCATTTATTATATAGATAATCCATATTTGAAGTGTTATATAGAAATGAAGTCTCGTTGCCGACACTTGAGCTTGAACATAGGTCGCCAGTGAGCAAACACAGGCAATCCCATTATTGAATTAAGTAGACCACGTGACCATAGAGGTAACGCACAAGTAGCATGGCGTCTAATTGATCACTCTTTCCAGTCTACAATCTATTACTATTCGGATCGTTATTTTTATCCTATCCTCTGTTAATATTCGGATCTCTATTTCTAGTCTATCCTCTATTACTATACGGAGCACTATTCTCTACTTTATTCACTATACTATTTCTCTATTCGGATCACTATACAGATTACTACTCGAGCGAGTATTATCGAGCAAGTACTATGAGTGCGAGTGATATTCGACGGCCTCTGACACCAGTATTGTTCAACGGCTTACTATAGCTGTATCTGCGATTACAAAGTTTCTACTATAACGAGCTTTACAAAAGCTTTTTTTTCCAATTCCAAATCATAGTTTCTGTTTTGGAAAGGTTTATGTTAAGCGCTAACTTTTGGAACACTTGGTAAGTATGTTACGAAATATATCACCGCTAAAAATGTCGATATATTCTTCGAAAATACTGACCTGTTATTATCATTTTTTTTTTAACAGCAAATATTTTGAAGTGTGACCTGAAACTAAAATCCTGTACCGTTCTGCAGGAATGATATATTGCAGCTCATTCTTTTCCTTTATTTTTTATATTTGAACAATATCACAATGAAGGGTACTGAAAAGTTCTCTAGCAGACTTGCAAGATAGTTGCTCATTGGTCAGATTTTCGGAAGAGGAGCGAGGCGATAACTTTTCAATACCCTTTCGATAGACTGTTTGGTAATATTATAAAATAAAAGTGTAACTCCATGAAAAACAAGTTATATTTGGAAAAATCTATTAGAATAATTATAATAACTTATACTGAGAGCAAACTGTCTGCATACGGAAGGAAAATGAATTGAATAGCTACACAAAAATAGAATAGGGCATAAGACAAGGATGTGTCTTCTCCACAGATCATATCGATCTCTACAGGGATGTTGTCCTAGGAGAACTGGAGACCTTACAGGATTTATTATCAGTGGGCGTAATCTTATAACAATATAAGATACGCGGATGACACTGTGTTGATAGCTAATACGGAAATAAATCTACAGGCCTCCTAGACAAGGTAAGTAGAAGAAAGTGAGAAAGCGAGAGTTGGAATTTCTAGGATACGCAATGAGAAAAACGGGCTTGTAAAATTTGATAGTCCCATGAAATACTGAAGGCAAAATGGGGTAAAAGGAAAACAACATATAAACTATCTAGCGAACCTATGTAAATAGGTGGCAGAACAGGGTTTAGGAGAGATAACATGAAGACAAGATTTATTAAAAGCAACAAAGGACAGGGAACTGTAAAGAACCAACGTCCTGAAGTGACACGCCATGAAGAAGAAGCATGCGGAGGGATCAGTATTAGACGTATAACCGTTGGACAAAGAAAGCTTGACCACTTGACCACATCTGATTACGTTTTAATAACGTTATTAAAGTCAACTGTTGAAGCATTTTTCATTGTTGAAACGGTTAAGTTTGAAATAAAATAGGAAAAATAATCAGTGCTCATCAAAAGCAAAAAGATGTGCCATAGTAACTTCACATTTCGACGCCAGTGATGGCAAGTATAGACTAAAACGATGGTACCTTTTTTTCACTGTAACAGAGTGGGGAGAATATATAACTAGTTAAAATCGAAGCCGTTGAAAAATGAATGTAGACATTTTACATGAATAAATAATAACAAAACCATATGTAAATTTACATGCAATTTATTTCAATAATTTAATTGTCATTTTCAAAATATTGTCGCCATTTTATATAATGTAGTCATCCTCATCAGAAATATATTTTAAACACTCAATTGTAAATAAAACATTTTCTAAATTTAAGTGGGTGTCTCTCTCTCTCTCTCGTATATGTAAATTGTGTGGAGTGTTTACCTCTAACTACAGAATACAGTTTAAAGATACAGAATGAAAAATCATGTTCATGATAAATGCATTTTTGAGTTAAAATACCCCAGTCAATGGAGGCGGGGTTGTCGGATCGGATTGAGGAATTGGAGAGTCGAGTTCAAATTCCAGTCGAATGCGTTACATTCACTTAAACGCTAATATCATTGGGAACGGCATGAATCCATCTCTGTGTGTAAATCGCAGGGCAGACTGGGTCCTATAGTCTAGTGGTGTGGCTACCAATCTAGGAGAAGGAAAACTCTGAATTCAAAACCAGCCTGGAGAAGGTTTTGCTCCCTCAGGCTATCTTACCAAGGAAACATCACTGCTACTGCTGCTGAAGTATATGTTGTGTTTATACGACCTTAACGTGTTTAAAAAATCCCAAACAGACATTTTCCTTGATGCTATACTATAGATCTTTCTTCCATATTGGATTCAATAACTGTTGTTATTAATAAGATTATTGTGGGGCTCGCCGCTTGTACACAAGATGGACTCGTCCAATGTATATTTATACTACGGAGAGATAGCGTGAAAAAAAGGTCGAGACAGGGTGTTCACTCAGAGTTATACGAGAGTCCAGAAAGAGAGATAATTACGGCTTCACATACAGAGACTTGTACATATACTTTTCCACTAACCCGCATTCCTGGACTACTAATTCATTTCAAGTTTGTATTCTTACGTTTAATACACGTATTTTTCTATTTTAATTACTGGCGTTGTTTATTTATTTGTGCAGGATTCCATCCCCGGAATCCACAACAAAGATCAATTACCGAATTCAGCGACAGATTAGAACCGGTTTGGTAGAACGATCCAGCCGCTCGTCTATTTGATCCGTCAAAGATAGAATAATAATAATAATAATTGTCAAAAAAAACAGAAAGAAAAAAACTTGCCTACTAATTGATATGGCAAACAGCGGATTGTAACATAGCAACCAAGTTTGAAAACTATCAAAATACAAAGACCTGGAAATTGAAATAGAAAAATGTGGAAATTGAAAACAAGAATAATACCAGTGGTAATAGGTGCACTTGAATTATAAAAATGGAACAAAACAAACACATTGAAAGAATCCCTGAAACCCCAGCTTAAGAGACATACAGAAAATTGTCTTATTAAATACAGCACACACACTAAGGAGAACTTTGTCTATGTAACGCTAGCAACTTCATCGGAGATAAAAAAAAAAAAAAAAAAAATTAACATGAATGTGCCAAACAACACACCACGACCTGCCTTAGGTCTTTCCACCAGACTTGGTAGGTAGTGTGTCCATAGCAAAATAATAATAATAATAATAATAATAATAATAATAATAATAATAATAAAACGCAAGTCGGTTCAAACGTTGTTTAACTTGCACCCGTTCAAAATATACTAAATAACGTATGATGATAAGTTATATAGAAAATCAGCATAATGAACAGGATACTAGGTCAGTGAAGAATCTCACAGCGCAAACTACTGGATGAGGGCTCCAAAAATATTAGACTTGGATTCATTCGCAGCCAATCGATAATTTTCTCATTACAAAAATGCGTTGCGACATACATGATCTTCTTAACGCTATTATCTTCTTGTGTGCTGCATTTCTTTTATTTTGTCGTGTCGCTCTCTGTAAACTGATATCACTTATCATATCATATTACTTAGATATTAATTGTTAGTTTCTATCGAGTTGTTCAACCTTGTTCTTGTCGATCGTCTTCATGTGATTTAAACTCTTTAACTAATATAAAATATTTTCACTCGTACACTCACTTGCAGTTCGCTGGAATGATTAGATCTATCTATCTATCTATCTATCTATCTATCTATTCAGCCATTATAGTTACTTTATTGTCTTTATACCCATTTGTCCATCTATATCTGTTCATCCCAATTCTGTTCAGACATATCTTAGTAATTTTTCTCTCTCGCACTCCTCTCTATTTCTATCTATCTATCTATCTATCTATCTATCTATCTATCTATCTATCTATCGTTTCGCTTGTATCTATCTGTCTACCTATCGAACTGTCTATCTATGATTTCCAGTTTCTATCTCTCTCTCTCTCTCTCTCTCTATCTATCTATCTATCTATGGTTTTCGGTTTCTATCTATCTCTCTATCTATCTATAGTTTTTGCTTTGTATCTGTCTGTCTATCTATCGAACTGTCTATCTATGATTTCCAGTTTCTATCTCTCTCTCTCTCTATCTATCTATCTATCTATGGTTTTCGGTTTCTATCTATCTCTCTATCTATCTATAGTTTTTGCTTTGTATCTGTCTGTCTATCTATCGAACTGTCTATCTATGATTTCCGGTTTCTATCTATCTATCTATCTATCTATCTATCTATCTATCTATGCTTTTCGGTTTCTATCTATCTATCTATCTATCGTTTTCGCTTTGTATCTGTCTCTCTATCTATCGAACTATCTATCTATGATTTCCAGTTTCTATCTATCTATCTATCTATCTATCTATCTATCTATGATTTTAGGTTTCTATCTATCTATCTATCTATCTATCTATCTATCTATCTATCTATCTATCTATCTATCTATCTATCTGTGATTTCTATCTATCTATCTATCTATCTATCTATCTATCTATCTATCTATTTATGGTTTTCGGTTTCTATCTATCTAGCTTTTAAAAAAATGAGAAGATGAAGTCATACCTCGATTAAAAAGCAGGAATTGCATCAGGAAAAATCATTCTTAAACTTCCTAAAAATGTTAATGCAATATTCACACATTCAAAAAAAAAAAAAAAAGAAAGAAAGAATTATTGTTCAAATCCAAAGTGGTAAATGTGTTGATACTAGATTCTACAACAATGTCAAAGAATGAGAGTTTACATAAAACAATTGACCTCATAGTCTCTAATACCCCTACAACCACACAAGCAAGTCCTCTACAAACCGCCACCAAAAAAGCCCCCAAAAGCAAAAATAAAACAATGTAGTGTATCAATTTACATGCCCGATCAAAGATTGTATCTCTGATGATACTAATAAACCCACTACATATATTGGTTTTACTGTCACCTTTCTGATCTTAGTTCTATTAAACACCATTTCTTAGAAAAACATAGCCATGGACATAATATTAGAGAGATATTAGTTGATAACACAACAATACTCACATATACACACAGTAAAAAGAAACTTCAGATATTGGAGGCCATCTACATTAAAACGAAGCAACCCAGACTTAACAAAATTACATTTCAAACTAGTCACAACACATTATTTTATATCTAGAGTTTGGTTCAGTTTTAATATTTCGATTTATGGCGTGGTATGACGTCATAGAACCGCATCTCGAACTTACGATCTGCGGCTGCTATTCCGTGACAGTTATCGTCGTATAGCAATTTTTTATGTCAGAATAACAAAATATCATCTTTGACGATGGATATCTTTGTTTCATGTCTGTATAAAAGAAATCTGGGGATGGTTCATGCAAGCCGAAAGCTTAGGGCCAACTTAAAAAAAAAAATATCCAAATGTTGGACAATATTAAAGCAAACATTCGAATATTAGAACGGCTCATGTTCAGACATAATAGACGTTCATATATGTTTAAATAATGAACTTCTGCTCAATACACTATATATATATATATATATATATATATATATATATATATATATATATATATATATATATATATATGTGTGTGTGTGTGTGTGTGTGTGTGTGTGTGTGTATGTATGTCGCATTGGGAAGGAGTTCCTTATTTAAACATATATATATATATATATATATATATATATATGTTATTTAACCCCCCACACACACATATATATATATCCAAAACGCTACATAAGAAGTCTCATGTTACGTAGAGTTTTGGAATCCTATTTTTAAATAAATAATTATATTTATGCTCTACTTTTGTATCGAGCACTATTTTTTTTAAATAATAACTAAAATACTAAGGGACTTTGGATTATTTACCTAACCAGTTCCTGCTCGTCATTAAACTTTCAGCAAATTTACTCTGTATTTCGGCCTGAAAGAGATAACATTTTATACTTCAAATATATAATTTGGAATTGAATTTTGTGTATAGATTGTCAAATGCCATTGTCTGCTTACAAGTTTCAAGCGTTCATAACAAATGGATTTATTTTTAACTCAAAATTGTTATTATTTCAAGCGTTATCCTAGTGGAAAATTCTTATTTGAAATAGACACAACCATTTTATGAATTAAACAGAATATATTACGCCTATCGCTTACACATTCGAGAATCTAAGTAAAGAATGCGCACGCAATGAGACGAAAAGCAGTGGTTTTACATGAAAAGTTAGACGCAGTTTCGACTCCTGACGTAGGGCACATTTTTAAAATAAGTTTTCTCGCATGTGCATGCAGGTAGAAGAAATATTATACGGATTAAAAAGTACCTTCTACTCAAATACGTGTATCAACTAAAAGTAACGATTATATATATATATATATATATATATATATATATATATATATATTATAATTATTTTCTTTTTTAAAATTATGATTACATCGCGACACAGAAATTTCTATGTTAAAAACTGAAAACAAAATTGTAAATTTAATTATAAAAATTAAACTTAAAATCCAGAATTTCATTCCATTGCCAAGCGATGTTAGGAATAAATTTCTAAGAAATTTACTTATGTTAAATTTTTATAATTAAATTTACAATTTTAGTTTCAGTTTTGAGACATAGAAATTTCTGTGTCGCGATGGAATCATATTTTTGAAAAAGCAAATAATTATAATAATTTGATCTACTGTTTGTATCGAGCACTGATTTTTTTAAAATAAAAATAATTGCTAAGAACACCGGATTATAAATCTTACTGTTCTTTTTATTATTTTAAATATATATATATATATATATATATATATATATATATATATATATATATATATATATATATATATATATATATATATATATATATATATATATATGCAATTTTAAATATATCATTTGTATATTATATATGCGCGGTACTTATTGGAAAGCGTTCATTATCAGTGATAGATCTAACATATTTAGTTACGTTGATGTGAGTTTGTGAACCAGGGTTTCACGCCCTTTGTGATCGTTAGACAAACTCTTGCGAACGCAAATGACATGAAACCCAGGGTGGCAAACACGCAACCGGACGTCTAGCCACACTGAAGAGCTGTGAAACAGCGAAACATTCTGTCTCTGGATGACTTTATATTTAATTTCAGTTGAGCTCTCTGGGGAAGAAGTGTGGGTTTGTAAACAGTGATTATTATGGCTGATATAGCGAGACTCTTCGGCAAAAGCGAATTGAGTCACTGTCGGTCACTGTGCGTGTTTGTCTAAAAATAAATACGCTAAAAATTCAGCTTCATCCATTCCGTGCGCCGTAGGCTTAGTGGTAGAATCTCCGACAGACGCCAATTCCGTCGGGTTTCGATCCTAGCTAGAGGCAACTGTACGTCTAACCAACCTGAAGAGCTGCGAAGCAGTCTGTCTGTGGATTACTTTATATATATATATATATATATATATATATATATATTTGTTTATGTGTCTGTGTAAAATAAATTAGCAAATGTATCTACAATACACGAAGAACATAAATAAAATCTATGTTTGAACACAGTACATTACAATTTATTAAATGCATTAATCTTACATAGAAATTGGTTTTACAACAACTTTGATTTAAAGAACGGCATACTTTTAAAGGAGAAAGTAACTTACTTGGACGGAAAGAATCTTGAGAATATAGCTATCGAATCTTACCAAAATATAAATCTGTGTTCCGGGTTTTTAAAAATATCTCTGTTAGTAAAAGATATACCTTCCCCAGTTAAAACGTTGTTTGTTTTAATTTTGTCGACTGCACAGAATAGTATGGTCAGTTGGGCACCTTCTGTGAGAAAAGGAATGCCATAACGTAAGTCACTCTAAAAAAAAAAAAAATGCTGTACTGCTTGGCATTCGATCCGGAAGCTCCAAAAGAAACTTTCAGGGTGTTTGGGTGCCATTCTAAGGACAGTGCAGTGGATTCGGAAAGAGTTGGATGAGACTAATGCTAATTACAAAGATGTCTGGAGTGATAACTAGTGATGACAACAATACACCTCCATTCATCTTCCTACTGGGAGTCAGACGCAACACAGAGACCTACATCAAGTACCTTGAGGTGGTACTGCTACCCTGGGTCAAGATAGTGGCTGCTGGAAGATCCTATGTCTTTCAACAATATTCTGCACAGTAAGCAGGAGTACCCAGTCATGGCTATCAGAAAATTTCTGCCACCTGATAACCCCTTACATCTAGCCACCTAACTCCCCAGACTGCAACCCCCTTGATTATTATGTGTGGGGCGCAGTTGAGCGAGAAACCAGCAAAACTACTTGTAGCACCAAAGATGAACTAAAGGCAAGGATTATGGCAGCATTCACCAACTTAAAGAAGGAGACCGTCCAGAAGATTTTCTGGAGGCCTTTTTTCTGGTGGCGTCTTTTCCTATGTATAACTCGTGAACATATGAGATTTACCACTTTCAGAAAGCCACCAAATGATGATTTTACTTATATAAAGGGTTGAAACATTTAAATAATGTGTATTCAAGAATTTACATAAAGGAATACAGTATTGATTGTCGATAAAATATTCCTGCACGGTTCCCAGAAGAATTATTAACTAGCACTTAAATGTGAAGGATGTAACATTGGATTCATATAGCAAGAACTGATACCTCTTGTGGATAATGATAGAAAAATAAAACAAATTTGGTTTACGCCTCCTTTCACTGTGGCAGCGAGATCAGGAAATCGTTGTTATATTATAACCTAAATAAATGCTTCAATAAGTACACTTAAAGCTTCCTCTTTATTCCAATTAAAACTACATGGAATAACGACATAATGTAGAAATTATTGAAGTCAGTAAAATATGTGCACCCCTGACGTAATTGAAGAGAAAAATGCTTTTTCTCGTTAGATGAGAAATGCCTGGGTGAAAACATAATTTATAAGTCACGGTAAGGGCAAATATTAGGTTGGTGCAAAAATAATGACGTAATAATGTCGTTTTTTGATGTATTTTTAACGTCAAAAACGACATTATTGCGTCATTATTTTTGCACCAACCTAATAGTTTATTTGTGTTTAGCGGTATATCAACTCCTTATATATATATATTTTTTTACTATGAAATATATTGCTGATATCTTTATTATAAAAATGTATTTTAATATTTCACAGTGTTTTGACCCCAGTTTGTGAGTTAACTATTTACCCATAATTGTGTACCTAACAGGTTCTACTAAACCGGTTTAGGGTGAACATGGGAAGAAATTCAATTAAGAGGTGGTTCAATGTTCCTCAACACCTCCCGATCACAGGCCTTGCAACTGGATGTAGTGTATCGTCATATTATCGTTAGAATTCTGAATTTTTATGTTGGGTTGAGGGTAGGTGCCATCATTAATTTAATTCAAATTGCAGATCATAGTTTTTGTTGATTGATTTTGTTTTACGGTTTATCAACCCTTTGTAAGTTATTTTACAGACTGAAATTCTACTAATTAGCCCATATCTGTCGGTAGAAGTTGTGGATTCCTACCTTACAAAAAGCTATTTCCACTTAAGTGAAAGAACGGAAATGGAACTCAGTTCTCTAATTTCCAATTCTGAGCCGTTATCTATTACACTATCCAAACATCCAGCACCCATAAAGTGGGGATCCATCAAGGTATTGACCAGGCTCGACGTTGCTTAACTTCGGTTATCATACGAGTAGCAGTGTTTAAATGTGATGTGGCCGTAAGCTTTTTTGTTTTGGCAAGTTTTATCATAAGTCAAACATGATTGATTAATAGATTCGTTTGCTACAACTTATCAACTCTTTTCAGGCTATTTAAAGCCAGAATATATTTTTAGATTGTAAGATTTTTTTTAAAAATATAGTAATAAATTAATTGTACAAGTCTTACTAATTAAAACATACCTGGGAGAAAAAAGCTGGATGTATACCTTTCCCAGGTCGAATATAACGAATACAACCAGATTAGAACCCGGCTCGCCGATTTCCAATTCCGAGCCATTATCCAGTAAACCACCTGCACATCCAAGTTTACAGGTATTCCCAAGCTTTGACCAGTCAAGGTATTGGCTTGAATCGATGCCGCTTAACTCCAGTGATCGTATGGGAACCAGTGTGTCAACATGATGTGACTGTAAGACTTTGAACTTGTCGGCAGACTTGGTAAAATTATTGATCACATAAAGAAGTAGTATTAAAATTGGTATCTACTAGACATCGACATTACTGTTACCTCATTTCAGACGAGACAAAATCTTGTAAATATCTTTCATCACAATGTCTCCGTCTATTTTGTCTTTGTTCCTCTGTTAAGCTTAGTGATTACATTGAAAAGATCAAACGCAAAACTGTAGGGTATTGTCCGAAAAAGGATTTTCGCTTAACTGCTTTCTTTTATCTTCTTTTGTTGGTGTCAACAAAGAAAAAGAAATGATAAGCGCTTATTTAAAATAACTGACACGACTGCTTAAATAACTTGATAGATTTCAAATAATAAATATCAAACGTGAATTAGACCACAGAGACATAAAACGTGTCAAGCATGCAACTTGCATGGTCATGACTTTTCAAATTTCTCTCCAGAAAACGAAGTTAGTCCAGGCTAGTATAAATTAAATTATAATCTGTCTAACTTATAAGCGGCAGTGGCAGAATTATGTCAGGAGCGGTCATGATAATTTAGACCCAGAAGATTCGAGTTTCAGGCTTTTAGGAAAGTTTTTTTTTTAATCCGTGATTATGAGTACTTTATAAAACAGAAAACATTCTAACTAGATTGTCATAATTGTTTGAATGTTTCGCTTTTTACGGTTTATTTAAACCCGGGAAATATTTTAAAATGTGAGAATTTTCTTTTAGAGATAATAATGATTTAGTGATAATGTCTTACAAATTAACTGATAGCTGGAAGAGATTCATATCTTTCCTACGGGTATTTGCGCTTAGGAAAGATATTAATCTACCTTTTCTGGGTTAGGGGTATTTCTGCTTAAGTATATGGTATTAAGGTATGAGTTAGAGGTATTTCCGCTTAAGTGAATATAACAAACCCAATTAGGAATTGAACTCGACTCCCCGATTAGCGATTCCGAACTATTATCCATGACACCTCTTGCACATCTAAGCTTGCAGCATCTGGTATTCCCAAACGGTCACCCATCTAGATACTGACCAGTCTTGACGTTACTTAACTTTGGAGTTCGGACGCAATCCGGTGTTTCAACGTGATGTGGCTGTAATCCGAGAAGATCATGCTACGGCGACAATGTGATTGAAAATAAATCACAAACTAGATGACAGGGTTACTTATATATGTTACTTAATACAGAAAGAGGTGCAGGTAGAGAAACGGATATCCGTGCGGAAAGTGGAATAAGCGAGCCGCGTTCAAACTCACTCTGGTCCACTTCGTTCTCTTCTCCTTCCAACTATAGGTTAAGTAGCTGATTAGACGGACTTATATAAAATATGGGAAGAAAAACTCTGATTTCTAAACCATAGAGAATGCAATTGTAAACCACTCACAATTCACTGATAATGGAAAAAAAGAAATCACCCCAGAGAATTCTGATTGGCTACATCCTGACGGAACATGGCCTTTAAGAAATGATAGAAAACAAATAGTATTGTGTGCTTATTTGATTAGAAATAGGAATAACATTGACGATATATTCACTGGTTAGGTAAAGTTTTCTGTGGCCGAGGCGCAAAAAGTCAACCCTCCGCTGTCTACCCTGCATTCAATTGTATCTCCGATACTTAATTTGCTTTTTCAATATTTGAATTGCTTAGAATTCAGAATTTTTATGATTATTGCATAGATACCTTTGTGGGAATCAGATTTCAGAAATGATAGCAGAAACTAAGGAATGAGCTGCTGGTATATCACACAATAGAGACTCAGTTCTAAGTGGCAAGTCAAGCAAAGTTACTCCAGGTATGTCAAGAATAGAATCCTTAAGAAATGTACTCAATTGTATCTCCTATATTTAATTTACTGTAACTGATCGATGCATTGCAATATTTGAACTGCTTAGTATAGTTTTATGATGGGTTCAGGGTAGGTGCAACCAATAATTCAATTAAAATTCCAGATTATAGTTTTTATTTTGACTGATTAATTTGTATTGTTTTATGGTTTATCAACCTTCTTTAGGTTATTTTACAGGCAGAAAACATTTTTAGATTGGAAGTCGTTTTAGGTAATAGTAATTTACTGATGCAAGTCCTACTAATTAATACATAGCTGTATGGAGAAGAGGTTTATAATACAAATTCGAGGTATGTTACAATTTTGTCAAAGATCTTATTTCATAGAGCATTATGAAAAGAATATTCGATTGTCTTTACGTACCTAGCAGTATTGGAGCGTGACATTGACTTCTTAAAAAAATAAATAAAATAATAGTGCGAAATTGAAAGAAACGCGTCAAATCTTTTCCCGTTTGGTTTCCTTTGTTTTACGGCATAACAACCTCAATGAGTTATTTAATGCCGATAAGATTTTTATTGTTGGTAATATTTCTTTTTCAAAAATGTATTGCTGGTATTTTTTTTCAAGAATGTATTACTGATAATAATTTTGTACAAAGTATTTCTGGTACTAAAACCTAGGTTTACACTTTCGTAGTGTATGGACCTCAGTTTGGGGGTTAACTATTTGCCCATAACTGGGATCCTAACAGGTGCTACCACTCCGGGTCAGGGTGGATCTGGGAACACCTGCAATTAAGAGGTGGTTCCACGCTCCTCAAAACCTCCTGATCAGAGGCCTTGCTGTTGGACGTAGTTTATCGTCTTACCCAGGATGTGGAAGTAGTTTACCGTCATAGACAGGACGCAATCTTTTTTCCGTTTTGTCACTTACTATTATAGAAGGTTTTATTACATTCACTTACGCGAAAATGCCCGCAATAAAAGTATGGATCAATCTACCCCATGTATGGCTTACATATTTGGATTTCTATCAGGTAAAATAAGTTTCGTCTCCAAATAACGTATACTTAAATCATAAAACAGAAATCAATCTATCAATCAATTTTGTAAGCAGCTGCCATGTAATCACAAAAGAGCATTATTTAAAGATTTCCAGCAAAAACAACAGGGGGAATGGGCAGCACATGTAACAAGAAAGGAAAATAATGATAGTAGCTTAATAAAAAGGGTTAGGAAGGAAACTTCTATCAGTACTTGAAAGAGAGATAACAGTTATTGGACAATTTCCCTGAAAAAAATTGACCAATAGCAATGCTAATATTTCGATCAATGAATAACGAATATTTCTACAAAGTAATATATATCGACACTTTTAAAACGATGAGGGTTGAAACACCGAAGTTAAGCAATGTGGAGCCTGGTCAGTACCTAGATGGGTGACAGCTTGGAAATAACAGCTGCCGTAAACATGAAGGTACTGTTGATGCAATGGATAACGGTTCAGAATTTTTGAATCGGTGAGCCGAGTATCAACTTGTTGTAGAGTAGTTTTCACAGTGGAGGCTTGTATTTCAATGTCGTCTTAAATTAGGTTCGACGTACAAAACGTTAGGAACTTGATATAATAGGTAATGACGCAGTAATCTAGTTGTGGTGGCTGACACTTCAATGTCCGACATCGACTGACTCACTCAACACCACTGAGCCCCACTGGCGACCACTACTACTACTACTACTTATTATGTGTGGGAGAGTCTATTAATAATAGAATAGGTACGTTCAGCTATGACACAAGTCCAGTTGGTCTCTTTATATTCACTTACAAGCAAATACCGTTAGGATAGGTATGAAGACACCTGCACTCTCCCAGCTACGGGTTAAATATTAAGATTTGTATCGCTAAATCCTTACAATATCTGAAAAAATTTCTTAAAACCTTAAATATTTTCTGGCGTTAAATAACCTACAAAGGGTTGATAAGCCGTAAAATGAATTAATAAAACAATGAACTGCTAAAAAGTAAATTTGATTTTCTTTTTTCTATTTACTTTTTCAAATTATTGACGATGACACATGTGAATCGAAAACATCGACTAAATACAAACTTTGTCTATTTGTTGTATCTACAAAATCACATTTCCGAGCAGTTATTCTCTGTTTAGAAAAAAAAAAAGTTTGTTTGATAGATTTAATACGCATATTCTTTTTTTTTAATTATTTCACCCCAAGCAAATGCAAAACGCCACTAGAACGCAAAGGGTTACTGAGTGTTAGAAAATATATGCAAAAATTACTATTTAGGAGACAGGACAATTAAAGAACAAGAATTAAGAAGACAGAAGTTAACGATTGATATTGCATTTAATTATTTCAACATCAAAATTGACTGGGAAGCAAAAAGCCAGAAAAGTTCCATAAGCGGGAAATGCGATAGAAGAAACTTTTAGCATAGAAATTACCTTTACATCTACCCATTTCAACTGTAAAATAAAACCTTGCTGTCAATCTAGTACAACGCTTACATTCAGAATGTCTATGTACCCTAGCAAAAGATCATCAGAAAAATTACCATGAAAGTTTAGGAAAGGCACAGAGAAACTACGTAAACGGCGTTGTGAAAGGGACTGAAACCGAGATGCCAGGTCAGGACCAATAACACTGCAGATTCTTCTTTAGATTTTATCAAGAATCTTTAAATATATAGCAGGGGCAAGAGATCAGATATGGCAATAATATCCAAAGCAAGGATGAATGTTAGATTTATAAACATGTAATATAGATTCTACTGAGAAAAATTGTTTAGCACAAAATGGTGAACCAACTTTCTTAGCTGCAAACTTATCAATTGGTTCAATTCTAATGAATGTCTTTCTTTTCTAATGTCTATTCTTTCTAATAGGTCTCGTTTGGAAGAACAATGTCTACCAAAGTATATTGAATTGAACTATTTTATTATGTTAATATTGTGCATGTAAATTTCTCTGTGAATTTCTGGAGTGAGAAGTTATCATTATTAACACTATTTCCATTCTGACTATTGTCCTCTCTTTGTTGTTGTTGTTCTCATAACGTTTCGACGTTGTGATCTCCGGACTTTATCAGGTGTATATTGATCAAAGTAACCTACTCGGAATTTTCGAACTAGACCCTTTATTTAATCTATGGGGACAGACAGTTCTCGTTCCACTGCTCAAGTCTAGTGATATCTCGCCAAGTCTTGTTTCAAGTACTGCTCAGTTATTGCACGCTCTGTTTCTGTTTAGTTCGAATACACAGTACCTGACTGAGAGATTGAACTCAGTTACTATGTAGACATTACTATCTCACCAATATCAGATCTGTCTGAAAAGTAACGAGACTGGTATCAAAAACAATTTCTTTCAATTCGAAACAACAAACTGCATTGTTTCCCCTTCAAAGTAATCCTCCCTGCAGAGTCTAATGCACTTTCTCATCTTTCTTTGCCACGCTTTTATGCATTGCTGGAAAGATTCTTTTAAGATGCCTCTCACCTCTGTCGTTACCGCTCACTTGATGGCCTCAACAACTTCAAAACGCGTCTCGTTGATGATCCCTTTGAGATTGGGGGAAAAAAGTCACACTGTGCAAGATCTGGTGATTAGAGATTTTGTTCTAGTACAGAGATATTTTTCGCGGCAAAGAACTGCCGGATGCCCAGGTCGTTATGAACAGGTGCATTGTTGTGGTTGAAACAGCCACTATTTGTATTGCCACAACTATCATCCCTTCACGCGCACTGAGCGAAGCAAACACCGCAGAATCTCTTTGTAGACTAGTTGATTGATCGTCTATGCCTGTGACAAAAACACACTGTGGACGATGCTTCACACATCAAAGAAAGGATAAGTCACGTTACATGTCAGCCAGAGCATTTATATTGGTAAATGCTTTAAAAATTGATTCCTGTTGACCAACCAACGTTTTTAAATTATTCAAGATAATAAAAAAAATTGAATTTCAGTGTAAACTCCGTTCCGGTTCAAAGAAGATGATGCTGAACCTTGGAAGAATTAAAAGTCGAACAACGCATTTTCATAAAATTCCTAAGATTGTTTTAACCTCTGTAGACATGCTGAGGTTTATGGCCATATCAGATTGAAACATCGGCTGTCGTCCGATCTTCAAAGCTAAGCAACATCGACTTCGTTATGTGATCGTTTCTAAGGTCTTCCAGGTGCTGAACCTGTCTTTTCTAAACATTTCAAACCATAGCAGTATTAATTTTCTATTCGGAACCGCATCTTTACTCAAGGACAGATGGCACAGTAGATAAAGCCGTT